GCAGCCATTTGTCAGCCTACACTGCTCCTTGGAAGCTGAACCTGACAGGCTCGATGCTATCTGTAGCAAACACCTTTTTCTTTTTGTCGAGGGCGTCTGTGTGTGGTTATGCTGACACTGCACTCCAGAGATTCAGAGACAGCTCTTTCTGCAGAGACTAGGCCTGAAGGGCACACATCAACCAAACACAAGCTAAACTATTGACAATATCTTTTTAAATGCACCTGACCCACACATGTACATGTGTATGTGTTCCTGCGGCATGCGTACACACAGCACACATGGAGTTCTGTAAGCAGTGGCCTGGCAAGACTTCAGATGATTGTAAATAAATAGTATTTATGTTTATTTTCTTATCTCTGCCCTGTATGTCTATACCCTAACCCTTATTTATGTCCAAGGCTTGTTAGGCATCAGTTCTGTCCCCATGACCTACTAGTGCAGTGAGGAATTCATGTAAGAAAATGATTCATTCATTCATTAAATACATAGTTATCGATAACCAGTTATGTGCCAGGTACTATTCTAAACACTGAGGCTATGGCATGGGATAAAAGAACAAACCCTTGCCCTCATGGAATTTACATTCTGGGAGGTGGGTGCGGACACTCAACATAAATACGGTATTTGAGGCGGTGTAAGTGCTAGGAGACCAGTACAGCAGAGAAAGAGAGTGTGAGGCTTGGGTGGTCAGAAATGGCCTCTTCGATAATGTGACATTTGAATAGAGACTTGAAGGAAAGAATAAGCAATGGGAATATCTGAGGGAGGATTATTACAGGCAGCAGGAGCAAGCACAGTAAAACCCCTGAGGTTGGAGTGTGTGGCCCCTGTTTAAGGCCAGAGTGGCCAGAGCAGAATGGGCTGAGAATGGCAGGAGATGAGGTGAGAGATGTGGGATAAGGGACCTCCCCCCCCCCCCCTTGGCCACGGTGAGGTGGCTCTTACTCTGAGTGAGATGAAAAGGCATTGGAGGTTCTACACACAGAAATGAGATGTTCTGATTTATAAGTGCTGGGGATATAGCAGTGAAGGAGACAAGCAGAAAAATCCTAAAATTATGTGCTTCAGAGAAGTTTTAGAAGGGTTTCTCTGTGATTCTTTGTTGAAAAACACAATGTACAATGTATGGAAAGTTAGGAAACATGCTTTCTTCTCTTTGCTGGGTGTGGCATTGTCGCTCCAGCTCACCATATCTTAGTGGGGGTCCCCATCCATAAACTGAGATGTTACGGTTTCCAAGCTCCACCCTGTGAGTGAAAGTACTGTGAGTTTGAGTCTGTATTCTAGCCCAGTGATGGCGAACCTATGACACACGTGTCAGAGGTGACACGCGAACTCATTTTTTTGGTTGATTTTTCTTTGTTAAATGGTATTTAAATATATAAAATAAATATCAAAAATATAAGTCTTTGTTTTACTATGGTTGCAAATATCAAAAAATTTCTATATGTGACACGGCACCAGAGTTAAGTTAGGGTTTTTCAAAATGCTGACACGCCGAGCTCAAAAGGTTCGCCATCACTGAGCTAGACTCTTTGAAGTTGCTTTGTTCTGAATTGTTTGGTTTCCAAAAAAGCAGCATGGACTTGAAGAGGTGTTGTGGCAGAAGAGGGATGGGGATTTGGGACTGGACCAGACAGCCTTGCCTGCTCGGTCATACATTTATCAGCATGTCATAGGCAGCCATTTGTCAGCCTATACTGCTTCCTTGGAAGCTGAACCTGACAGGCCTCGATGCTATCTGCAGCAAACACCTTTTTCTTGTTGTCGAGGGCGTCTGTGTGTGGTTATGCTGACACCTGCACTCCAGAGATTCGGAGACAGCTCTTTCTGCAGAGACTAGCCCTGAAGGGCACACATCAACCAAACTCAAGCTAAACTATTGACAATATCTTTTTAAATGCACCTGACCCACACATGTACATGTGTATGTGTTCCCTGCGGCATGCGTACACACAGCACACACGGAGTTCTGTAAGCAGTGGCCTGGCAAGACTTCAGATGATTGTAAATAAATAGTATTTACGTTTATTTTCTTATCTCTGCCCTGTATGTCTATACCCTAACCCTTATTTATGTCCAAGGCTTGTTAGGCATCAGTTCTGTCCCCATGACCTACTAGTGCAGTGAGGAATTCATGTAAGAAAATGATTCATTCATTCATTAAATACATAGTTATCGATAACCAGTTATGTGCCAGGCACTATTCTAAACACTGAGGCTATGGCATGGGATAAAAGAACAAACCCTTGCCCTCGTGGAATTTACATTCTGGGAGGTGGGTGTGGACACTCAACATAAATACGGTATTTGAGGCGGTGTAAGTGCTAGGAGACCAGTACAGCAGAGAAAGAGAGTGTGAGGCTTGGGTGGTCAGAAATGGCCTCTTCGATAACGTGACATTTGAATAGAGACTTGAAGGAAAGAATAAGCAATGGGAATATCTGAGGGAGGATTATTACAGGCAGCGGGAGCAAGCACAGTAAAGACCCTGAGGTTGGAGTGTGTGGCCCCTGTTTAAGGCTAGAGTGGCCAGAGCAGAATGGGCAGAGAATGGCAGGAGATGAGGTGAGAGATGTGGGATAAGGGACCCCCCCTTGGCCACGGTGAGGTGGCTCTTACTCTGAGTGAGATGAAAAGGCATTGGAGGTTCTACACACAGAAATGAGATGTTCTGATTTATAAGTGCTGGGGATATAGCAGTGAAGGAGACAAGCAGAAAAATCCTAAAATTATGTGCTTCAGAGAAGTTTTAGAAGGGTTTCTCTGTGATTCTTTGTTGAAAAACACAGTGTACAATGTATGGAAAGTTAGGAAACTTGCTTTCTTCTCTTTGCTGGGTGTGGCATTGTCGCTCCAGCTCACCATATCTTAGTGGGGGTCCCCATCCATAAACTGAGATGTTATGGTTTCCAAGCTCCACCCTGTGAGTGAAAGTACTATGAGTTTGAATCTGTATTCTAGCCCAGTGATGGCAAACCTATGACACACGTGTCAGAGGTGACACGCGAACTCATTTTTTTGGTTGATTTTTCTTTGTTAAATGGCATTTAAATATATAAAATAAATATCAAAAATATAAGTGTTTGTTTTACTATGGTTGCAAATATCAAAAAATTTCTATATGTGACACGGCACCAGAGTTAAGTTAGGGTTTTTCAAAATGCTGACACGCCGAGCTCAAAAGGTTCGCCATCACTGGTCTAGCCTAATGGAATAATTGCTCTAAAGTGTTTGAGTCCACATCTAACTTCCTGATCTAAAAAGTGGGAATGCCACGATTCACTTCATGGTGATAAAACTGTTTCCATAGTGAAATGCCTTCCAAAATCATCCCTCCTTTCTGAAATTCTGGGGCAAAATGGGAGAGAGAGCCCATGTTCAGCCTGCAGGTGCACCAGTGCCCACTCTTAACCTCGCAATAATATGGGGACCCGTGAAAAGCTTTGAAACAACTGATGACCTTTCCCCCCTCCTCTTACTCCTTCCCCTTCAGGCCTGGAAGAAACGCTGGTTTATCCTGCGGAGTGGCCGGATGAGCGGTGACCCCGACGTCCTGGAATACTACAAGAATGACCACTCCAAGAAGCCCCTGCGGATCATCAACCTCAACTTCTGTGAGCAGGTGGATGCAGGCCTGACCTTCAACAAGAAGGAGCTGCAGGATAGCTTTGTGTTTGACATCAAGACCAGCGAGCGCACCTTTTACCTGGTGGCTGAGACCGAGGAGGACATGAACAAATGGGTCCAGAGCATCTGTCAGATCTGCGGCTTCAGTCAGGCTGAGGAGAGCGCAGGTAGGAAAGCACAGACCTTGCTCCAAAGGGCAAGGTGCTTGGTGGTTGGGGGCTTGGCGGTTAGGGCAGCTGAGGGCTTGGCGGTTGGGGCTGTGACAGGGCTTTCAGGTTCCTTGAATAAGGAGAGCAGGCTGTAGCTAAAAGCTCCTCTTCAACAGAGGAGTAATAGGCAAAGGGTAAGAGTGTGAAGGGTTACCAAATATTAGAGGGCCCCCTGGCCCTGATGACACTCAAATGGGAAACTGAGATCTGTTGGGGTTGTGATGAAGCTAAAGGTACTTTGTGCTAAAGGTAATGTGTTCTGGTACCTCAGTGCCACCCCATTTCTCAGCCCTGTGCCTTTCTGCCCTTCCCTCACTCTCTAGCACTCTGTGCCCTGTTACCTATCCACCATCCCATATGGCAGCTCTCACCTTGATCCTTTTTCTGTTCCACCTGTCTGTCTAGTCCATCTATTTCACACCATCCTACACAGTTACATTTGCCAATTTTTTTTTTGGGGGGGGTGGGGGGAAGACGGGAGGATGGGGGCATTATTGTTGATGTATAATCCAATGTTCATTTCTATGCATTTGGGAGGGGACAGGTGAGAAGGGGAATGCTGACTTACATTTGGGTTTTGTTAACCTTCAGAAGGAATAGCTCAGCTTTTTGAAATGAGTTTTAAATTGCAGAAATTCTCTTTGACATTTGTTTGGACTCATCCCCAACTGTAGGATGATTGAACAGGGTGTGTTGTTTTTTTTTCTGAGGCAGGTGGAGAGCCTAAATCAGTAGTTCTTAAACCTGGTTGCACATCAATTAAAGAGAAGCATGTTGCCCAACTGGTGTGGTTCAGTGGTTGAGCATTGACCTATGAACCAGGAGGTCATGGTTCCATTCCCAGTCAGGGCACATTCCCCGGTTGAGGGCTCGATACCAGGGGGGTGGGGGAGTCGGCCATGCAAGAAGCAACCAATCAATGATTCTCTCTCATCATTAATGTTTCTGTCTCTCTCCCTCTCCCTTCTTCTCTGAAATCAATAAAAAATATATTTATAGAGAAGCATATAAAAGTCATTGATTCTGAGAACCCATGGCAAATCAGCTAAGAATCTCTGAGGCATTCCTGTCTTTTAAAAACTTCATTCCAAGTAGCAATGATTTTGACATAAGGCTGCATAGCTAGAAATGACTGAGCCAAGATTCTAACCCAGTGGTTCCCAAACTTATTTGGCCTACCGCCCCCTTTCCAGAAAAAATATTACTCAGCGCCCCCTGGAAATTAATTTTTTTTAAATTTTAGTAGCAATTAAACAGAAAGATATATGTATTAATGTTTCTACCTTTTTCGTAAAATATAGTAAAGAAAGGTGTAAATTAGAAACATTGAAGTTTGAAATTATGAAACTATTTATTGAACTCAGAATAGAAAGGTAATACAAAAAAAGTTAAAACAAATGCACCTGTGGCCATCACTGCCCCCCTGGATCGCTGCAGCCGCCACCAGGGGCGGTAGCGCCCACTTTGGGAATCACTCTTCTAACCTAACCCAGGTCTGACTTTCCATTATAATACTAGAGGCCCAATGCACAAAATTAGTGCAAGAGTAGGCCTTCCTTCCCCTGGCTGCCAGCTGCCAGCACCGGCTTCCCTCTGCCACCTAGGACCCGGGCTTCCCTCGCCACCCCCGGCTTCATCCGGAAGGTCGTCTGGTCTAATTAGCACATTATGCTTTTATTATTATAGATGTTGTCTCTTTCTCCCTAACCTCCTGAAATATGACCATCTGGCAAAACCAAGCCCGGGTATTTTTGCCTCTTTGGACACTGACGGAAGCACTCCCTGACCCCTTCCACCAGGGATGTAGCTGGCTTAGGTTCCTGCCTCACCAGCCCATATTGCTCACATTTCAAGGCTGGGGTATTCCAAGAATTCTGTCATTCTAGGCTTCCATGCAGTCATCAGGCTCTATTGGTGAGTGCGTGGGCTGGGGTGAGGGTGTCTGAGTTTAAATCACAGCTCTGTGATTATGTGAGTCACTTGAAGCCTCGGTTTCCTCTTGCAGAACAGAGATAAGTCATCATCTATCCAGTGCTTCTGCTTCTCCGTGGGTACAGGACAGACCATAGCCCCACTGCCTGTGCACCTCAAGTTTCACATCTCCCACAAGGCTATCCACAAAGATACCCCATGGGGTTCTCTGCAGAGATACCCCCCAGCAGCTGTGGCATGCAACAGCCCTGCCTGCTGCTTGGGCCTATACAGACTTCTTCCTATACGGACCCTCCTTCAAGCTAATATTCCCTTTTCTTTTTCTTTTTTTAAGAGTTGCAATAGGACCTATAGAAAAAAAAAAAAGAAAGAAAAACAACTTCTGTTTTTCACTTTCAGCTGGAAGAGGTTCTGTGGCAGATGGAGTCTTTTTTATAATCTTCTTGCCACTCTCAGCTTCTGCTGTCTGCTGCCACCCTCCAGTTCCTCACATATTCCAGCCAGAAATGCCTGGAATGAAACCTGTCTAGGAACAAGACTAGACCAGGAGTAACACCGATTCTGACTGTCGACATAGGGTGGAGAACACAACCTCCTGATAAGAGAGAGCCCTTCCCAAAAGGAAACCAGGGATGAGGCTCACGGAGGGAAAGCAAGTCCAAGGATGAATGTCTCGATTTCATATCACACGTGTGGAGATTTTTTTGTTTGTTTGTTTCTTTGTCATGTGCGTGCGCACACATGCATAAAAGCACATATAAGAACCCTGCCTTCCTCTGGGAATCAGAATAGCCCTCAGCCCCCTGCGAATGGAGCAGAAAGCTGCTCTGAGCTGTGCTTCTGAGCAGGCGGGTCCAGTCCGCACATTTGTGGCCCAGACGTGGGCAGCTGTCCCTGACCAGATGTACCACACACAAAAGAACCAGCTCTCAGCACAGTGCTCTGGTGAATTATTCATGGGCTCAGGCGTCATCCACTGTTGGGAAAGCCGGCATCCCTTTGAATCCTCTCAGCCCCTCCCTCTTCCAGGGCCTGCACAGCCGCTCTCACGTGGACCCTGAAAGGCAGGCCGGCTGCCCCGGAGTCCCAGCCCCGCCATTTATTTGCTCCACGATGTTGAATAAATACCTCTATGTGTCTGGGGCTTTGTCGCCTGCGCAGTGGGGATGATGCTCCCTCCCAGCGTTGTTGGAGAAAGATGGGGAGGTGTACAGGTGCACAGGGGAGCGTGGCAGCTTGTGGCGCTGCTCCCCATGTGGCGGTTGTGTTGATGATGATGATTTTTTACTTCAGGAGGTCAAGAGGAATAGGATGTGATTGAAGTATCTGGTGTTTATAGAGAATATGACACTCTGAAGAACAGTTAGGCAGTCTCCTTTGAGGATAAAGAAACAAATTAAGATAGGCGGAGCTGCTAGCATTATTCCTGTTGCACAAGTGAGGAAGCAGAGGTTTAAAGGCACGAAGCGACAGTGTCACCAGGCCTAGAACCCAGGCCCTTTCGCTCCATCCTGGGGCCATGCTCTGAATCTTGCCCATGTGTCCTAACCCCCTTTACTCACACCTGTTTATCATGGCTGCTTGTCCGTCACAGAATAGCCAGCGAGGAGAAGCAGGACGTTTCTAAATCACTGAGAACTGACCATGAGGGCAGTAGAGTGCTGTCTGTACATTAGCATTAACCTCTGAAGGCCACATGAGCAGGAGAGCAGGACCCAGCTTAGAGCAGGCCCAAACCTCGAACCAGAGTGCGGGGACATGAGGCACCAGAGCCCCGGTTGGAGCTCTTGAAGGTTTTGAAAGAAGGCCAGAGCCCCTCCATGTCCAGTCTCCTATTTGCCTTTTTTCCCTTCTTCTCCAGCTCCCTGGCAGGGATTTCACAGTAGTCATGTGTCAAATTCTATGGCACAAAGACTTTGCAGAGTTCAACAGACTGTTTTTATGTCTTCCCCACCTTTTCTCTCCTAAAATTCTTGGTGAGGCTGTCCTCCCTCCCCTCCCTTAAATATTTTGTAAATATTTAAACTTCTAGAATTCCCTGAGTCTCCTGAGTAACTCAACAGCAGAGTTCTTTTAGCTCCTGGGCCCCATCTGGGATCAGGCGATATCCATAGGAATGCTTTGGGGGAAATCTTGAACCTCCCGTGGAAGAATGTTGTCGGAGGTCTTCACACAGCTCCTTCCCCTCCAGAGAGAATGCTTGGTGCTTAGAGGTCAGGACCCCTATTCCAGCTGGACTTCTGACCGCAGGGAGGGCTGGGATGGAGCCAGGCCGTGCCCGCAGATGCCTTCTGGTGACCTTGGCCCGGCCCCCGGTGCAGCGAGTGGGAGAGCCAGGGGAGAGACTGGGCGTGAGGAGGCCGGGGAGGAAGGAGGCCTTCCTTGGAGACCTTGCCCTTTCTCTCTTCTCATCCCTGGGGGGGACCTTCCCCTTTCTTGTTTCTTCCCCTACCCGTTTGCTTCTTTAAAACTGATCTTAGATCTCTCACCTCCTGGGGGGACCCTTGTTGGAAGCTCAGAGTGAATGTGGGAGGTAAAATGCAGCTTCTCCCCAGGCTGACACAGGTCCCTGGAGGAGCAAAGAACAGAGTGGAGACAGACCCGGGCCCCAGCCCAGAGGCGGAGGCTGCTGTCTGAGTCACCCATCCTTTTTTCCACTGAGACAATGAGGAAAACAAACATGCAGACCCGTTTCCAGCCAGATCTGAACTCCTCATGGCTTTTTAGAGAAAAAATAAATGTTATTCTAAATAACCCTGAAATATCAGGCCTTCCTCATGGGACACAAACTCCATACAGTCCCCACGGACACTCCTGCCTTGTCCTGGGCCAGGCACAGCCCTGACCTGCAGGAGGCCCAGGCCCTCGGGAGGAGGACAAGGAGCAGGGAGAAACCTGGCCCTCTTCTCTCTGTCCTAAGCCTGCATCCTTCTTTCTGCTCTCCCTTTGCTACCAAACACTCCCCCTCACCACCCAGCCGGCCAGCATAGATGAGTCTGGTGTCACCTGCCAAACCCACAGACTGC